AGAGGCCGGAACTCTAACTGGATGCTCTATAAAGGTGCCAATGTAGCTGCTGAAAGAGTCCTAATCGATCCACACTCATAAATATCTGCGAAACGCCGTCCACACATAGCCAATCAATGAAAGTCCTTGGAACCAAATTCAAATCGCGAAGTAGAACTAGTGTTGCTGATGTAACTCGTGAAGCCGTAACATCGGGGAAAAAAAGGATAACTATAGTCGGAGAGAGAGTATCGCCTACCTAAGGCCCAGACTATCAGACTCAAGTCTGCCACACCAGTCTACAGGGATCTAAGCCGGCCGAGCGACGTCGGGGAAAACTAAGGCCTATCGGATCCGAATCATGTATTTCTAAGGCAAGCCCTAGTCAAACCTAAACTAAGGCCCAAGATGTTTCAAATAAATAGTAATTAAGCATGCAAGCACTCCACATAGCGAGAAGGTCAATTAATAACACAAAGCATGCTCACAGTTACCCGATAATTCTCGAAATAGGCCGAAAACATAATTTTAAACACCTATACGTGATTCAATAACTACCAACCCAAATCCCAACTAATCAACATGCGTTCACACTCTCAAGCTCAATCTAAGAGAGGGAAACCGTGGCCTGCCTGTAGGCCGATCACACGCGCTCTAAAATCACTTCTTCGGAGCTTTCACTTTCCGAATGGTCTCGAAACGCTGCCCCGCTATCAAAAATGGAGTCACAACGTTAATACGGTCGTTTAGACACCAAAATGACAATAAAGGGAGACGGGTCAATTTTGGAGTCAAAACGGGAATCGTGGGACCCGCGCTGGAAATTCCGGAATTAACCCCAAAAGTGGGTCCTAACCAGTTTCCCCCAGCTCATATCCCAAATGGGACACAATTCAGGGATCGGGAACAACACACTATCAACATGCAACCAAAACCCAAATTACACTAAAACGGAACAACAATAGCAGCAACTATTTACAAGAAAATATCATAAACGAGGGTCCAGATGCTGAAACCAATCACACCCTGATGATCCTCACGAAAAACCCCATAATCTAGGCTTTTGAATCACCAGATTCGCACCTAAAATGACCACGAAATCACCTTCTAAATTTTCCCAAAAATTGAGCTCGAAATGAGCTAAGACAGTAGCTAAAACACAACTTTTTACCTCCAACAAAAAGTTAAATATGAAATTTAACCATGCCAACGCGTTCTCCTTGAAAAACCACTCAATATAGCCCCAAAAATCATCGAAATCGGATCTAAAATGACTGAAATATCAAGTCTCAAAAATTCCCAAAATCAAGCTCACAAAAAGGGTGTGGCAGCAGGTATTTTACGAAAATTACCTCAAACGGGGACTCCAAATCACTATCCGAGCTCACCAACGCGTTGCCCTCGAAAAATCTCACAACTTTGCTTTTTGAATCGCCCAAATCGGTTGAGAGATGAGAGAGTTATGACGGTTTAAGTTTGGGAATATGTTGCTGTTTTTCTGCATTTATTGCAGAAAATCTGCAATAATT